CACAGAATTGTTACTGAGGGACACAGAATTGTTACTCAGGGACACAGAATTGTTACTCAGGGACAGACACAGAATTGTTACTGAGGGACACAGAATTGTTACTGAGGGACACACAGAATTGTTACTGAGGGACACAGAATTGTTACTCAGGGACAGACACAGAATTGTTACTCAGGGACAGACACAGAATTGTTACTGAGGGACACAGAATTGTTACTGAGGGACACAGAATTGTTACTCAGGGACACAGAATTGTTACTCAGGGACACAGAATTGTTACTGACAGAATTGTTACTCAGGGGACACAGAATTGTTACTCAGGGACAGACACAGAATTGTTACTGAGGGACACAGAATTGTTACTGAGGGACACAGAATTGTTACTGAGGGACACACAGAATTGTTACTTAGGGACACAGAATTGTACTTAGGGACACAGAATTGTTACTGGGACACAGAATTGTTACTTAGGGACACAGAATTGTTACTTAGGGCACACAGAATTGTTACTTAGGGGACACAGAATTGTTACTGAGGGACACACAGAATTGTTACTGAGGGACACAGAATTGTTACTGAGGGACACAGAATTGTTACTTAGGGGAGCACAGAATTGTTACTTAGGGACACAGAATTGTTACTCAGGGACAGACACAGAATTGTTACTGAGGGACACAGAATTGTTACTGAGGGACACAGAATTGTTACTGAGGGACACAGAATTGGGGGACACAGAAATTGTTACTCAGGGACAGACACAGAATTGTTACTGAGGGACACACAGAATTGTTACTCAGGGACAGACACAGAATTGTTACTGAGGGACACACAGAATTGTTACTGAGGGACACAGAATTGTTACTGAGGGACACAGAATTGTTACTTAGGGCACAGAATTGTTACTGAGGGACAGACAGAGAATTGTTACTTAGGGACACAGAATTGTTACTCAGGGACACAGAATTGTTACTCAGGGACACAGAATTGGGCACAGAATTGAATTTACTCAGGGACAGACACAGAATTGTTACTGAGGGACACAGAATTGTTACTGAGGGACACAGAATTGTTACTGAGGGACACAGAATTGTTACTCAGGGACAGACACAGAATTGTTACTGAGGGACACAGAATTGTTACTCAGGGACACAGAATTGTTACTGAGGGACACAGAATTGTTACTCAGGGGACACAGAATTGTTACTCAGGGACAGACACAATTGTTACTCAGGGACAGACACAGAATTGTTACTCAGGGACACAGAATTGTTACTGAGGGACACAGAATTGTTACTCAGGGACACAGAATTGTTACTGAGGGACACAGAATTGTTACTGAGGGACACAGAATTGTTACTGAGGGACACAGAATTGTTACTCAGGGACAGACACAGAATTGTTACTCAGGGACAGACACAGAATTGTTACTGAGGGACACAGAATTGTTACTGAGGGACACAGAGAATTGTTACTCAGGGACACAGAATTGTTACTGAGGGACACAGAATTGTTACTGAGGGACACAGAATTGTTACTCTCAGGGACACAGAATTGTTACTCAGGGACAGACACAGAATTGTTACTCAGGGACACAGAATCGTTTAATTAAAGAGTATGTCAGTCACAACATGCAGAGGAGTGGCAGAGGAGGCAATGTTTTAGGAGCGAGCAGACGTGGCAGCAGAGGAAGGGGTCGAGGCAGCACTAGTCGCAGCCAGAGGCCAGTGCTCCCGGTGTCATCCAGCGGTCGTGTCTCCACCGACAACCCTGCCGTCATCGATTGGTTGGCTCGGTCGTCTTCCTCTCTTCCCAGGTCACCTCTGACACCTACAGCCAACGGTCGGTGGGTACGTCAGACACAACCGTTAGTTGGCATGGCCCGGGAGCAAGCCCACTGAAATCACGTGTCCTCTACCTGCCCCTGTCCTTTGGTGTTCCCTCACCAAGCGAAGTATCGCATGCTGTGGGCTCAGCCCCACTGTACAGTGAGGAAGAGCTAACAGAGGGCGGTCAGGAACGGGGGGAGACATCCGCTCTCTTCAGCAGCCAGGCGAAGAAGTAGTGGCGAGGAGAGTGGCTCGGTAGCCGGTCTAGAGACAGGTCTGTCTCCTGACCCACACGCAGCCGAGGGGGCTAGTAGTGAGGCGGAGACCCTAATTGATGATGATGAGGCTGATCGCACTTGGCAGCCTCGTCGTCATCAGGCTATTGCTTCCGCATCATCAGGAGAAGAGGGTGGCAGCTTGGCAGCGAGCAAAACAGTCGGTGGGTTGCCCAGGAGGCAGCAGGGTCGCAGCAGTGTCAGTGGAGGCAAACGGCCACGGAGTAGAGCACCAGCTCCACTGCAGCCTACCACCACGGCCAGTAGTGGTGCCGGTGTGCACGGAGGAAGTAGCAGTCAGCCAGTGTGAGGAGTATCGGGGGCAAAGTTTCCTACTCGGCGGTGTGGCAATTTTTTGTCAAGCCGCCCGAGGAAGTAAACGTAGCCGTATGTCGACTATGTGGCCAGAAAGTCAAGCGTGGCCAGGGGGCCCATGTTGGGACTACAGCGTTGCGTCAGCATATGCAGCGTCGCCATTTGGTGGCCTGGGAAAACCGTGATAAAGATACGGCGGTTCTGCCTGCCCCAGCCCCCGCTCCATCACCCGCTCCGTTACTTGCTCCGTCACCCGACGTCAATCGCCCTCTATCAGCCAGTCAAGGCTCCAACACCTCTGCTGAGGGGAGTTGTCGCTCGTTGGCATCTTCCGCTCGTTCAGATGCTCCTTCTCCTGCTACTCCTCTTCACGGATTCCGTCAGCAGTCTTTCTTGGAATCCGTTTCCAAGAGACAACAGTTTGCGAGCACGCACCCGACGGTGCAAAAGCTGAACGTCCTCCTGTCCAAGTTGCTGGTGCTGCAGTCCCTCCCTTTCCAAGTGGTGGACTCAGCACCTTTCCGAGAAATGATGGCTTGTGCCGCGCCGCGGTGGAGAGTGCCAAGCCGTCATTTCTTCGCCAAAAAGGCAGTGCCAGCCCTGCATTCACATGTAGAAGAGATGGTGGGCCAGTCTTTGAGCATGTCGGTCTCTGCCAAAGTGCACGGCAGCGCCGACGTGTGGAGCTGTAACTACGGTCAGGGACAGTACATGTCATTTACGGCCCACTGGGTGAACGTGGTGCCGTCACAGCCGCACCAGCAACTTGGACAGGTCACGCCGCTTTTGCCTCCACGTTTGCACGTCCTTGGTCCAGCAAAGATGTCCGCCTCTACCACCTCTTCTTCCGCCGTGTCCTCAGCCGCCCCCCCGTGCCAAGTCCCATTACCCGACCGGCATATCACATGTGCAGGGCGCAACGGTGTCACGCTGTGCTGCACCTGGTATGCCTTGGCGAACGTAGTCACACAGGGGAGGAACTTCTGAGTGTAATGAACAGAGAAATCGACAGATGGCTGTCTCCGCGCAAACTGAAAATCGGAACCATGTTGACCGACAACGGAAAGAACATGGTGTCTGCTCTGCGTCAAGGAAGGTTGTGCCATGCGCCATGCATGGCTCACGTGTTCAATCTGGTTGTCAAGCGGTTCCTAAAATCCACCATCCCACTGCAAGACATCCTTAAAATGTCACGTAAACTTTGCATGCATTTCAGCCATTCCTACACCGCAAAGCACACCCTCCTTGAGCTGCAGCGGCAGAACGGAATTCCACAGCATCGCCTGATCTGCGACGTTGCAACAAGGTGGAATTCAACCCTACACATGTTAGACCGCCTTTACGAACAGCGAAAGGCCATCACCGATTTCCTGATGTTACAAGCGGATAAAGGTACTCCCCTGTGTAACTTCGATGTCAGCCATTGGCAGCTCATGCGTGACACCTGCCGCTTGCTCAGGCCCTTTGAGGAGGCCACGCTATTCGTGAGTCGGCAGGACTATGGGATGAACGACGTCATTCCTCTGTTGCACGTCCTGGAACAAAATGCTGTTAACAATGGCTGGTCAGGGTGCGGTAGACGTGGCGCACAGATCTCAACGCCACATGACCCCTGTGGGGGCAGGACAGGAAGAAGAGGAGGAGGTAGAGGAGGACATTTGTGCTCAGGAATTATTGAGTGAAATGGGTGGTTTTTCCACTCAGCGGACAGGAGTGGAGGAGCAGGAGCATCTGGTAGAGGAGGAGGAGGAGGAGACAGAGGACCCAGACGCACCGTGGCAGTATGCTGTGGAGATGGAGGCAGGGAGTCCCTCGCATTCCTTGGCACAAATGGCCCATAGCATGCTCGGTTGCTTGCGTAGCGACAGCCGAATAATAACCATCAGACAGAGGGATGACTTTTGGCTGTCCACCTTGTTGGACCCTCGCTACCGTTCAAAAATGGTGGCCTTTTTCACACCTGCTGAGAGGGAGGCCAAAATAACGTACTATAAAAACCACCTATGTAGTCAGTTGGTCTCTGCCTTTGTGCGCCAACGTCCATCCTCAGACACTGTGGGCCCTGTGCGCTCGCGTTCCGCTGCCATGGCAGCAGGGGAGGGGTGGGGTGGTAGGAGCAGTGGCAGCTCCACCAGCAGCGGCTGCCTCAGTCTGCAGTCGATGATGAGTAGCTTTCTTCACCAGCGCAGTGAGGAAACTACTAACCAGCCGCAGCAGCAGCAGCAGCATCAGGTGGACCTGGAGCAGGACCTCAAACAACAGGCTTGGGCCTACTTGGACAGCACCCTGCCAACCGAGGTAGACAATCCCCTTGACTACTGGGCAACGAAACTTGACCTTTGGCCCCAACTAGCTGAATTTGCCCTTGAAAGGCTGTCATGCCCGGCCAGTAGCGTGGCATCGGAGCGCGTGTTTAGTGCGGCAGGAGGTATTGTAACTCCGCGGAGGACACGACTGTCCACCCAAAGTGTGGAGAGACTCACGTTTGTGAAAAATGAATCAGGGCGTGGATTAGTCTGGATTTCAAACCACAGTTCCTGACACAACTGACTAAAATCCGCCATGTGAATCATGCCCCAAACATGTGCCACTTTCAGGTCTCCTCACACTGCTGGTGTGTTCCATTTTTTGTCATAGGGTGCTGGCAGATTACGGGCCTCCCATAGCTGCTGCCAGGCCCCTAATCTGCCATGGGCCCCTGTACCGCCTCCTCATGCTGCTGCCAGGTCCAGAGTGTCTCATGGGTCCCTGTACGGCCTCCCATTGCTGCTGTCTCCATCGCCACACTCTGCCATGTGCCACTTTCAGGTCTCCTCACACTGCTGGTGTGTTCCATTTTTTGTCATAGGGTGCTGGCAGATTACGGGCCTCCCATTGCTGCTGCCAGGCCCCTAATCTGCCATGGGCCCCTGTACCGCCTCCTCATGCTGCTGCCAGGTCCAGAGTCTCTCATGGGTCCCTGTACGGCCTCCCATTGCTGCTGTCTCCATCGCCACACTCTGCCATGTGCCACTTTCAGGTCTCCTCACACACTGCTGGTGTGTTCCATTTTTTGTCATAGGGTGCTGGCAGATTACGGGCCTCCCATAGCTGCTGCCAGGCCCCTAATCTGCCATGGGCCCCTGTACCGCCTCCTCATGCTGCTGCCAGGTCCAGAGTGTGTCTCATGGGTCCCTGTACGGCCTCCCATTGCTGCTGTCTCCATCGCCACACTCTGCCATGTGCCACTTTCAGGTCTCCTCACACTGCTGGTGGTGTGTTCCATTTTTTGTCATAGGGTGCTGGCAGATTACGGGCCTCCCATTGCTGCTGCCAGGCCCGTAATCTGCCATGGGCCCCTGTACCGCCTCCTCATGCTGCTGCCAGGTCCAGAGTGTCTCATGGGTCCCTGTACGGCCTCCCATTGCTGCTGTGCCATCGGCACACTCTGCCATGTGTGGGTGGCCACGGCCAGGTAGAGCACCAGCCAGGCACCCTACCACCTGGGCCAGGTGTGTACCGGTTTGCACATAGGGTAGCTGGCAGTGAGGATCTACGGGCCTTCCTACTCACATTGCTGTGGCCAGCCCGTCAAGCTGCCCGATGGGCCCGTACCGCCTGCCTCCTCTAATGCTGCCCAGGTCCAGCGTGGGGCCAGGGGGCCCATGTACGGACTACAGCCTCATGCTGCTGTCCATATCGCACACTCTGCCATTCGTGCCTGGGGCCAACTTTACGGCGGTCTCCTCACACTGCTGGTGTTTCCATTTTGTCATAGGGTGCTGGCAGATTACGGGCCTCCCATTGCTGCTGCCAGGCCCGTAATCTGCCATGGGCCCCTGTACCGCCTCCTCATGCTGCTGCCAGGTCCAGAGTCTCTCATGGGTCCCTGTAACGGCCTCCCATTGCTGCTGTCTCCATCGCCACACTCTGCCATGTGCCACTTTCAGGTCTCCTCACACACTGTGGTGTGTTCCATTTTTTGTCATAGGGTGCTGGCAGATTACGGGCCTCCCATTGCTGCTGCCAGGCCCCTAATCTGCCATGGGCCCCTGTACCGCCTCCTCATGCTGCTGCCAGGTCCAGAGTGTGTCATGGGTCCCTGTACGGCTCCCATTGCTGCTGTCTCCATCGCCACACTCTGCCATGTGCCACTTTCAGGTCTCCTCACACACTGCTGGTGTGTTTCCATTTTTTGTCATAGGGTGCTGGCAGATTACGGGCCTCCCATTGCTGCTGCCAGGCCCGTAATCTGCCATGGGCCCCAGTACCCCTGCCTCCTCATGCTGCTGCCAGGTCCAGAGTCTCTCATGGGTCCCTGTACGGCCTCCCATTGCTGCTGTCTCCATCGCCACACTCTGCCATGTGCCACTTTCAGGTCTCCTCACAACTGCTGGTGTGTTCCATTTTTTGTCATAGGGTGCTGGCAGATTACGGGCCTCCCATAGCTGCTGCCAGGCCCCTAATCTGCCATGGGCCCCTGTACCGCCTCCTCATGCTGCTGCCAGGTCCAGAGTCTCTCATGGGTCCCTGTACGGCCTCCCATTGCTGCTGTCTCCATCGCCACACTCTGCCATGTGCCACTTTCAGGTCTCCTCACACACTGCTGGTGTGTTCCATTTTTTGTCATAGGGTGCTGGCAGATTACGGGCCTCCCATAGCTGCTGCCAGGCCCGTAATCTGCCATGGGCCCCCGTACCGACTCCTCATGCTGCTGCCAGGCCCGTAATCTGTCATGGGCCCCTGTTGTCGCTTGTTGGCATATTCCGCTCGTTCAGATGCTCCTTCTCCTGCTACTCCTCTTCACGGATTCCGTCAGCAGTCTTTCTTGGAATCCGTTTCCAAGAGACAACAGTTTGCGAGCACGCACCCGACGGTGCAGAAGCTGAACGTCCTCCTGTCCAAGTTGCTGCTGCCAGGCTCGTAATCTGTCATGCGCCCCTGTACCGCCTCCTCATGCTGCTGCCAGGTCCAGAGTGTGTCATGGGCCCCCGTACCGACTCCTCATGCTGCTGCCAGGCCCGTAATCTGTCATGGGCCCCTGTACCGCCTCCTCATGCTGCTGCCAGGTCCCGAATGTGTCATGGGTCCCCAGTACGGCCTCCCATTGCTGCTGCCAGGCCCGTAATCTGCCATGGGCCCCCGTACCAACTCCTCATGCTGCTGCCAGGCCCAGTAATCTGTCATGGGCCCCTGTACCGCCTCCTCCCTGCTGCCAGGTCCAGAGTGTGTCATGGCCTCCCATTGCTGCTGTCTCCATCGCCACACTCTGCCATGTGCCACTTTCAGGTCTCCTCACACTGCTGGTGGTTTCCATTTTTGTCATAGGGTGCTGTATGGCCTCCCATTGCTGCTGCCTCCACCGCCACACTGTGGCTCCACACTCTGGTTTTGGCCCCGTGACTGCCCAAATGAAGTGAAGTGTGCGGTGATTCTAAGATCGACGGCACTCATCTGCATGTCATACTGACTGTCAGTATTATTTCTCTTCCCCAGCAGACTCCAAGGGCATTTAAATTAAAGGTACAGTGTTCTGCACTAATATAAAGGCTCTCTGAAGCCTAGAAACACCCTTTTATAAGTTAAATTCGCAGCGAATATATTCGACTCGAATCGAAATTTTTTCACGAATTCGCCGAATCATCGAATCGAATTTTAAAACACATTGACACTGTCACTTACTGACATGGACACTAATTGACACATATACTGCCAATAAACACTGACGCCTACACTCACTAAGCTAGGTAAAACATTGAACTAAGTTCATTACTTTTTTTTTAATTCAACAGAGACTTTTTTCTACAGACATCTATATAGTGAGGAGGAATAGATACAATGTATCATTTCCTCCTCACTAGCGACAGTCTGTTGTTTCTGCTCTTCATAGAGGAGAGACATCACAGGGAAAGGCTACAAAGTGAGTGATCAATGTGACAGCCAATCAAAGGTTTTTTTTCTCATCTCCTGTTTTCAAGAATCAAACAAATCTCTGTTTCCATTGTACCCAGTCTTAACTATACTTTACATTCCTGTAAAAAAATAATTCCTCGCTTTGCAGTTTTTTGTTATCTTTTCTTTCTTATGTTATCTTTTCCTGACCTTCACTCCTAATGCCAGTAATACCCAGCACAAAAATATGTTACAATGAATAAAAGGTCTGTACATATTCTCAGATCCTGAAATGTCAACTCTTACTCAATCCAATTGTTTTTCCTTCCCAACTATTTTGGCTTTGCCCCGGCACAGTCTTTAGCAATTATTCTTTTTTTTTTCTTTTCTTCTTTTTTTCTTTCTTCTTTCTTTTCTTTCTTTCTTTTTTTTCTTCTTTAGAGGTTTGGAAAACTACCGCTGTTTTACAAGAGAATCACAAATCTCATATACTGGAATTTTTTCCTATGCATTTGAACTTTTTCATTAAGGCACAAACTTCCACTTTATATATCATGTTTTTATTGCATCCCAAATATCTGCGTGAAAAGTGAAAACTAAGGAAAGTTATTTGTTCTGGGTTTTTTTACATATTTATTATAAATCTGGGGTTATTTTTAGTAAAATAATGCTCTAAAGCCTAACTACAACACAATGGAAATATTCCATTTCTTTAAAGACACTGCTTCAGAAGTGCTGGGCTGGAATTTCACCTCCACTTAACAGCATGGATGGGACAGGTTCTAGAGAGCATCGAGCTTTTGTACAAGCTACTTGTGCCATGATTACTGTGGGCAATTCACCAAATACTGCGCTAGGGAAGTTGCAGTGGGGAGGTGCAATGTTCCCAATAATTATATATATAAATAGTTAGCAAATCAGACATTGTTTTTCGAACGTGATGATGTTATGGAAGGGAAGGATCTGTGGTGTAGTGTGATTGGGCTTGCTATTTTCGGAAATGCGTTGAAAGTGAGACTGTGTTCAGCTTAAAGCAAATCAGGTAGTTGTGTGAGCAATACAAAATGCTTATGCATAATAGTCTGCTGTAATTTTACTACGTAGCACCCACCCTTACCAAGGTTGGCCCTTCAACTCCTCCATTTCTTCCGGTGGAGCCCAGATCCTCCAGTCAGTACTGCTGGGCAAACTTCTTTTCAATGCAGTTATGCAGAAAAAATATAATATGACAGCGATGGTATCAGGTTCAGTGGGTTCCGGTGGAGACTGTATGCCCATGTCCAGCTATCCACAGGTCATGATCTTGCTTACGCCTTCAATTGCTGGCCCATGCCGACTCACTACACTAAAGCCTCTAGTATTCCACAACGTCTGAAACACACTACTGATATGAGGGCAACACAGTGGTTAAATGGTTAGCACTTCCACCTGGCAGTACTAGGGTCGTTGGTTCGAATCCCAGCCACGGCACCTCCTGCCTGGAGTTTGCATGTTCTCCCTGTGCCTGTGTGGGTTTCCTCTGGGTACTCCAGTTTCCTCCTAACACTCCAAAGACATGCTGGTAGGTTAATTGGTTCCGGTCTAAATTGGCCCTAGTATGTGTATGTATCATTTGAGTTAGGAACCTTAGATTGTACACCCCTTGAGGGTTAGGGACTGATGTGAACGTACAATATATATGTAAAGGGGCTTCGTAAATTGACGGCACTATATAAGTACCTGAAATAAATAAATAATATAGCCATGTATTAATAATAATTCTATTGGACATCACATTATATTCCATAAGACTCAATGTAGTGCTCCATTAAGTATTTCTACCCAACGTTTGTGTGTTTCACCATGTGTTTTTTTATAGTAAAATAGAAGTTCCACATTAGCTTTTAGCTTGTTTTCCCAAAGCCATGCATCTTGTTTCACTTCTGTTT